CCACTCTTTTGCAACAAATTGGTGGAGGTTCTTTTAATTCGCGTAATCGAGGTCAAGGTCAGGGACGTGGACGAGGAAGAACCAATTTAATTGTTGAACAGACTAGGCCAACCATCAACATTGGCAATGAAGATAGTTCCAAAGATAAAATAATTATGAAAAAATAGAAGAAACCTCAATTTGAGATATCCTTAGAAGATGCCGAAAAAAGCGAATATGAGACAATGTATGATCGGATAAATCACTATGTGAATGATATGAACCTTGCTCCGATCCTCCCTCAAAAGGTCAAGAGGTTAGAGTCAAGGTAGTCCGTAGTGCTGGTTCAAAGCTGATCAAATTTTACCGTGCTTCTATTTCTACCAATCTTGAAAATCATGTAAATTTGGATGATGATCCTAATGAATTAATTGAATTACCTTTTGGTTACTTTTCTCCTTATGTACAAAAGTTAATTCAACAAGGACACTTGCCAAAACAAATATCAAAAGATAAATTTCAACTTTTTGAAAAATTATAGAATATTAAAAGTTGAACTCTCAACTCAAAAAAGGATCTCGGATTTGGTACAGTCGGACCAGTCGATGATTCAGAATTTTGCATGATTGTTACTAGAGAATCGGAAGGGGATTGCCTCGATATAGAGGATGACTCTATTTATCAACTAATAGAAGATGCTACACCAGAATTTGAAGAATAAATCAAGTCGACTGTTGATGAGTTGAAAGAAATAAACCTTGGGACTGAAGAGCAACCCCAACCTACTTTTTATCAACTAATAGAAGATGCTACACCAGAATTTGAAGAATAAATCAAGTCGACTGTTGATGAGTTGAAAGAAATAAACCTTGGGACTGAAGAGCAACCCCAACCTACTTTTATAAGTTCTCTACTCAACGATAAAGAATCTCTACAGTTGATCAAATTGTTAACAGAATTCAAAGATTTCTTTGCATGGAGTTATGATGAGATGCCAGGACTATCAGCAGAGGTTCCAGTTCATAAACTCGGGGTAGACAATGATATGACCCCAATAAAACAAGCTCCCAAAAGAATGCGCCTTGAAATAAAGCAACAAGTCATCGCCGAGGTGAAAATATTAATAGATGCCAATTTTGTAAAAGAAGAGCAATACCCCACATGGTTGGCTAACATTGCACCTGTTAATTAGAAAAATGGACAAATCCGTGTTTGTGTAGACTTCAGGAATTTGAACAAGGCATGTCCAAAAGACTAATTTTCACTAGCAATACCACAAATGATAGTGGATATCACTTCAGCACATGAAATTTAATCCTTGATGGATGGATCATCGTGATACAATTAAATCAAGATGGCTCTCGAGGATGCATCACTCACAGCCTTCAAAACACCAATTGGAATTTTCTACTACATAGTGATGTCGTTTGGCCTAATGTCGTTTGGCCTAAAGAATGCTGGAGCAACATACCAACGCGCAATGACAAAGATTTTTGACGACCTCATTCACAACCAAGTAGAATGCTACGTAGATGCATGTGGATGATTTGGTCATCAAAATTAAATGAAAGATAGACCATTTGTAGAGGATCATGTTCGAATGATTATAACAATATAATCTCATGATGAATCTTTTAAAGTGCACCTTCGGCGTTTCCTCTGGGAAATTTCTAGGATTCGTTGTTCGTCATCGGGGAATCGAGATAGAACCGGATAAGATTAAAGCTGTCTTGGAAATAAATGCCTCCTCCTAAACCCTTGAAAAAACTACATTCCTTCCAACGGAAGTTGGCATATCTGGGACGTTTCATTTCCAATCTCTCAGGTAGATGTCAACCCTTCTCGACATTAATTAAAAAGGACACCAAATTTTTTTGAGAAGAGAAATGCTAGCGAACCTTTGAGGACGTTAAACATTAATTAATGACAACTCCTGTTTAGGCAGCCTCTATCTCAGTGAAACAATTAAAATTTTATACTGCGGCCTTAGACGACTCTCTTGGAGCCCTCTTGGCCCAAGTCAATGACAAGGGTAAAGAAAACGCACTCTACTACTTGAGTCGTCGTCTGATACTGACGGAAGTAAGGTATCCACCTATTGAGAAACATTGTCCGGCGTTAATTTTTGCCTCCCAAAAGCTTAAACATTACATGCTCACTCATAAGATTTCCCTTATTTTAAAGGTTAACCTGTTGTAATATTTGATGACCCGATTTGATATAACTTTTGTTCCCCTCCATGCTATCAATGGACAGATTCTAGCAGACTTTCTTGTTGCACACCTACTGTCAGCTGGGTCCCCTCTCAACGACGAGTTACCAGATGAGAAAATACAAATGGAATTCTCCAGTACGCAATGCTGGGAAATGTACTTTGATGGCGCTTCTTCAGCCAGAAAAGATAAAGGATCGGGCACAGTCATACCAGGAAAAGCAGGGATAGGTTTGATCTTTATCACGCCAGATAAGGGTATGTTGAGGTTCTCATACCACCTGACAGAGTCGTGCACCAACAATGAAGCAGAATATGAAGCCCTAATCGTCGGATTGGAATTGGCAGTCTCAATCAATATAACTAACATTTCCATCTATGGTATTCACAACTTGTCATCCACCAAATCGCCGGACAATACAGAATTCTAAAACCATGATTAGTGGAATACCATCAGTACATGATGAAACTGCAGGAACAAATCCCCAATGTGACTTTCTACCGGATTTCTCAGTGAAATAATGCCCATGCGGACGCTCTAGCAAAACTCGCTAAGGAGTTGGCATGCCCCCCAGAAGATTCCATTGAAATCACCGTACAAGAAAGACAAGTTTTATCTCAAATTGACCTTGAAACTCTACACAAGCTTAGAAAAGAAAAGAAAACAATGATTGAGGTTGCAGACATTAACGAAGATTGGTGCAAGCCATTAATAGAATATTTGCATACTGGAAAGCTGCTAGAGGACAAGTATGAGGCACATCACATTACAAAAATGGCTATGTCTTATGCTCTAGTAGGTGACGTCCTCTACAGGAGATTGTTCAACCAGATGTGGCTACGATGTTCGAGTAGAGCCAAGGCACAGATACTGTTAAAGAAGTACACGCTGGATTGTGTGGTGCTCACCAGTCAGTGCCGAATATGAAACTAAAAAATCAAAAGGCTCTGATATTATTGGTCAGTAATGATGTCTGATTGCATGGATACAGCCAGAATTTGTCTCCACTGTCAGGTGCATGGGGTGGTCTTACACCAACCTCCAAATGTGCTACACCCAACCGTTGCCTCGTGCTCTTTCGAGTGTTGAGGCACGGACATAATAGGTCCGATAGACCCTCCATCCTCCAAAGGAAATATGTTTATACTTGTCGCTATGAATTATTTCTCCAAATGGGCAGAGGCAGTACCGTTACGAGAGGTTACGACACAACACGTCCTTTAATTATTCAAAAGCCAAATCGTCTACCATTTTGGAGTACCGTGAAGAATAATTTCTGATAATGGGACAGCTTTTAAAAGCCTAAAAATCAATAATTTCATTAAAAGACACTAGATAGATTGGAGATACTCTATAATTTACTATTCTAGAGCAAATGGGTTGGCTGAGGCCTTCAACAAAACATTGGAACAAATTTTGAAGAAAACATTAGATGAAAACAAATGGGATTGGCACAATAAATTGCTAAAAGCTTTGTGGGCCTACCGAATGATGTTCAGGTCTCCCACTCAATGTACACCCTACATGCTCGTGTACGGGTCCTAGGTTGTACTACCATTAGAAATTCATACGCCATCTCTTAGAGTCACAGTCGCCAGCCAACTCACAATAGAAGAAAGTGTGAAGCTCAGACTTAAATATTCAAAAGCCAAATCGTCTACCATTTTGGAGTACCGTGAAGAATAATTTTTGATAATGGGACAGCTTTTAAAAGCCTAAAAATTAATAATTTCATTAAAAGACACTGGATAGATTAGAGATACTCTACAATTTACTATTCTAGAGCAAATGGGTTGGCTGAGGCCTTCAACAAAACATTGGAACAAATTTTGAAGAAAACATTAGATGAAAACAAATGGGATTGGCACAATAAATTGCTAAAAGCTTTGTGGGCCTACCGAATGATGTTCAGGTCTCCCACTCAATGTACACCCTACATGCTTGTGTACGGGTCCTAGGTTGTACTACCGTTAGAAATTCAGACGCCATCTCTTAGAGTCACAGTCGCCAACCAACTCACAATAGAAGAAAGTGTGAAGCTCAGACTTTAAGAACTAGAGAGTCTTAAAGTAAAACGACTTGAAGCACAACAATACTTAGAAATTTACCAGGTAAAGATTATACAAGCTCATGACAAATTAGTCCTCCCAAGGACATTCAAAGTTAGCGACCTTGTCCTTGTGCTCAAAAGACCTATTCTTGCAAGCCGCAAGATAGGTGGAAAATTTGAGCCAGCTTGGGAGGGACCATTTGTCGTTGAAAAGGTCTCCGCAGGAGGAGCCTGCCAGTTAGAAGACTTCTGGGGTGAAAGACCCATGCTACCAATCAACAGACAATACTTGAAGACATACTACGCAGCCTGATGTTGCTTGCCGCCACTTGATTTGAAATTTTGAAATTTTGATTGTTTGTGGTTATCTATGTGGCCAAAAGTCTGTGACTGGGTCCAAAATTTTTGTAACAAAATTAACCTCAATATAATGAAAAATTTTGAAAAGAATTACACTTCAAATTCTCTCTTTTCTACCTTTGAACTTAATATTCTACCAAATTAAACAAAATGCATACACAAATAAATGACTTCTTCACCAAAATAAAGTAAAATTTTCTTTAATAAATACTTTGTTTTGTTCTTATTCACACTAAGTTTCAGCACACTGACATTTTTCTTGTCATTTGCAGAGAAATGTCAGACCAGAGACTGATCTTTACCTTTAAAGATGGCTGGAATCTTGCACTAAATGAAGAAATGGTGCCGCAGGGCGACACTATAGATTTCGACATGGAATTTAACCTAGTCAACATGGGTTACGTGGGGCCTTTAATGAGTATCTTCAGTTGACGGGAAAAGAAAGGGATGTCCTCACTGCTAAGGTTGACCACCAAAGACAGTGCATCACTGAAACGAAAGAACGAGATGGTACAACAGGACCCAATGGAGGGGCCCAGCTGTCTACCATCCATGATAGCTACGCCAACTGGGGGCTTGGTCGCTGCTGATAATGAAAGTTTGCCAGACGCTCCTCTACAAAGAACACAACGCAGAAATGCTAGCCACCAAAAGCAGAGGGCTTTCTTACGAGAGGAGAAAAGACGCAAAAAAGAGGCAGCAAAATTACTCACCCCTTTTTCTGAGGGGGACATTTATGATCCATGCATGAGAGAAACTTCTTCAATCTTGCCTACCACAGATGATGAATCCAAGTTTGTTATAGAGCCAGAAATACCACTAGCTTCAGATGTTTTGTGCACGAGTTTCCCTACTTGCAACGCTGAAATACCTGCACGATCGTCATCTCCGGGGGCATTCATGGAATGTCCGCACTACAATGTCTTGCACCTACAACACTACAGTAGCTTAGAGGAGTACGCCTCTATAGATGATATTCTCAGACTGCTAATTACTTGATAGAGGAAGAGACATATGTCTCAATGGATGCAGAGCCATATGTTCCGAGGGGTACAAAGCCATACGTCCCGTCAGACGCATAATCATACATTCTGTTAGAACCAGAGTCAGCACCAACTTGGGTTCCTGCAAATGTTGAAACAAGGGAACTTCCTTGACAGCCTCCAATCATAAGCACGGTAAAATATTACATAATAAGCAAAGTGAACAAAAGAAAATTTTAGGAAATACAAGGGAGGTTCATCAACATATTGGAAGGATTCGAATTATACATCAGGGTCTTCTCAGAGAATGATGAACAAAATATTCTTGACTGCATTTTTGACCTAAGGGACGGAGTTCAAGCATGCCTACTTATGGAAAAACCTATTCTGAGCCAAGAAAATGGATGCGAGGAATGGGAAAACGAGGAAAGGGAAAGATCCCTATCTAGTGCGGTTGCTGCTAGAACTTTATTAACGACAGACAAAGGAATCCGTTTGGGATTCTCAGACATGATCAGGTGGATCAACTACTGCCAATGATAAAGTGAATGATTAAAAGAATGTTCAGGTGAAGTATACTTCCCACTAACTGCATTCCTCACAGTTGCATTATCAACATCTGTGACGAGGGTGATTGCATTCTTCCACATATAGACCACCATGGATTTGTGAGACCTTTCTGCACGGTTTCATTCATGAGTAAAAATAACATCTTATTTGGGAAATAAATTGCCATCATTGGCCTTGGTGAATTTGGAGGAGCTATTGAAATTTCACTACCGGTTGGTTCGGTGCTAGTCCTTAAAGGGAATGGAGCAGACGTCGCCAAGCACTGTATTCCATGAGTACGACACCGTAGGGTGTCTGTGACCTTACGACAGATGGACGACAGAAAAATACCGTACGGATTTCAGCTAGATCCAGAACTGGAGGAGCTACTACCATACGAGCTATGAGAGTGTTGTACCTCTAATTACATGCAAAGAAACTCTGTCCCAGAGCATGGCTTAGATGGCCCGCTCAATCGAAAGCTTGTCACAACAGGAACAGATAGTCAAAGGATTCTTTTCCACTTTACTACAATACAACAAATGTGATATATATCAGAGATACTCAGCCTATGATATGTACTTGGAATAAGATATTATTGATGTACTTTGATGCAGTTAACATATTGTAGTTTTTGAGGCGTTAGCCTACACTTGATCTGTAACATTTATTAGAGCAGATTAATGAAGTTTCTTTCAAAAATTTGTCTTTTTGTTCAATTGCCTCAATTGTGCAATTGATAAAATCCACAAACCAAACGTTGGTTCAAAATTACAATGAACAAAGAATGAAACAACAAAATTTGACAATAATAAAATAAAAAAAATAAAAAATAAAATAACCAACAAATAAACAACAAAACAAATCTCTTTTGAAAATCAACCAACTAAAATTAAATTTTTGAAAACATATTTTGAAAATTAAACATGATAAAAACAA